TCTCGCCCGAGCGCAGCCTTCCGGTCTATACCCGTACTGTACGTGACTGTGAACGCGTACGAGACAGGGTTTCCTTTCCAGCTGCCAAGTCAATGATCAGCAATGCGCATAAGCCATGCAGCGCCCAGGACAATAATGTAGACGATCACGCAATTTTGCGTGCGCTTTCGCTCTCGCTACATTGTCGTAAGGCAAATCCTACGTCAAAATGTACGATGCTGCAGGGCTTTGTTTCGAAGTACGATAGTCGGGAGCGTCCACGGCTGTCTAGATAGCGGATCCGTACCCTGCAGGTCAATTACCCCCTACAACGTGGCCGACACTGTGGTTCTTGCAGTTTCCCTGGCGAAATCAAGTTAAATCCTATTAGACGGGTAGAACTTCCGAGAGAGGCCCATATTTTGCACGCGACACGGCGTTTGTGTGGCCAGTCGAGATAAGCAAAATCGGAAGGATCAGATGCTGGGTGCTATGCATTGGCGAGGCTTGGAGGTGGTATTTCGCCCGCGTTATGGCGTAAGCTAAGCAAGCCAAGCCAGGCTTACCGGTGGTGGGATTGAGCTTAGCAATGGAGCTTAGCGGGCGCCACAGTGATGTCAAGCCTGGGAACCTGACTTTTGAGCCAGTACAACGGTGTGCCGGTATGAAGAGGGTGTGACAGATACGCAGGAATGCGGCATCGCAGCAGCGCCACCGGTCTGGCTATCTCGAGGATTTGACGATTGACGTAATGAGTCTTCGACAAACGACCTGGTGCATGGCCAGACTCTCCACGTGCGCGACAGTGAAATGGCAGATCTGTGCCGTTGAAGCGGTAGCGATGCGTCGGACGTCACGCTCGCTCGGGACTAATCGACTAATGCGATTAAAGCACACGAAGCGGCACTCGCGGCGCCAGGGCAGAGGATTTCACTGAGATTTCATAGCGTGAGGGCGGGAAAAGATGAGAGTGCTGCGGTCATAGCGCGGCGAACGGCTGGTGTTTGTTCGAGTCTTCATAGGCGCGCTCAAACTCGGTAGGCGCCACCAGGCAAAAGCAGTCCCCACTCTTGCGCCTTCCCTGTTCGCCTTCACCGAACTCTCCTCTGCCCCCGCAAGTTTTGGACTAGCCATCCCGGCACCCTAGCTTACGCTCCTCCACTGCTCAACTCCCTGCACCCGCTATCACCTTGCCCCCGCGCATATTTAACGATCTTCTGCCGCCTCTCCATCGTTTATCCAACCCACTCCGACACTCCCCTGCCCGGATTTTGAACACGCAATTAATGCTCCCAGAAGCGGCTAACCGTCGTTCTTCCTACTACACTCCTTACAAGAGGTGTATCCGTTGCGTAAAATGGCGTTGAAGTCTCTCTTCGGCGGCAAGGCCTCGCCCGCCGACAACAACAGCCAAAGTAGCAATGAAAAGGTCGCCTTCGAGAAAGAGAAGGGTTACGACGCCGAAGCCCAAGGAGGAATCCTACCTACATCCACCGACGCCGACTCTGACGCTAGCATTACCATCGGCAGGCAGATCGAACTGGAAGCCAACAATGCCATCAAGTACCGTACTTGCAGCTGGCCAAAGACCGCAGCTCTGTTGTTCTCCGAGTACATTTGCCTGGCTATCATGTCTTTCCCCTGGTCCTACTCGATCCTCGGTCTCGTTCCTGGCCTGATCTTGACTTTCGTCATTGCCGGTCTCGTCCTGTACACGTCCCTGACCACCTGGTACGCGCACTCAACATCCCATCCGCACACGCCATACTTACACGATTTAGGGAATTCTGCATGCGCCATCCCCAGATTCGCGATGTGTGTGACATTGGTCAGATGCTCTTCTGGAACAAGAAATGGGCCTTTTACGCCACAGCAGTCATGTTTGTCCTGAACAGTAAGCGACCATCCCTGTCAACATGCAGCAACCAGTACTAACTTTTCCCTAGATGTTTTCATCATGGGTCTGCACTGCCTTGTCGGAGCCAAATGGTGGAACACTATCACTGGACACGGTACCTGCACTATCGCCTTCGCTGCGATCACTGCCATTATCTCATTTGCGGCTTCGCTTCCGCGAACTTTCAGCACCCTCGCTACGCTGGCGACTGCCTCCGCAGGATTCACTTTCATCTCCGTCATCCTCGCGGCAGCATTCTCCGGTGTTGACGGAAAGCCCGCAGGCTATGACCCCGCTGATCCTCTCAAGGTCTACGCTATACCCCCAGCTGGAACCACTTTCGTTATGGGCATGAGTGCTTTCATGAACATTAGCTATACCTTCATTGGCCAGATCACCCTCCCCAGTTTCATCGCCGAGATGAAGGAACCCAAGGACTTCCCCAAGGCGCTCTGGGCCGTTACCATCTGCGAGGTTCTCGTCTTCAGTCTCGTCGGAGGTGTTGTGTACGGTTACACCGGTACCAACTACATGACTTCCCCGGCCTTCGGTTCCATTTCCAACGAGGTCTACAAGAAGGTATCCTTTACCTTTATGGTACCCACAATCATCTTCCTCGGTGTTTTGTATGCTTCCGTAACAGCTCGCTTTGTCCTGTTCCGCATCTACGGTTCTCAGTCCCGACACAGGACTGGTCACACCATGGCCGGATGGCTCACGTGGATCGCAATCCTCGCTGTGCTCTGGGTTTTCGCCTTCATCATCGCCGAGGTCATTCCGTTCTTCTCCGACCTGCTCTCGCTTATGAGCTCGCTGTTCGACTCGTTCTTCGGATTCATCTTCTGGGGCGTAGCGTACTTCCGTCTTCGCAGAGAGGCTCACGGACCAAACTTCTGGAAGGTCCGCGGTTGGAAGGGATATGCCGGGTTCTTCTTCAACGTCGCACTTTGCCTCATCGGTCTGTTGTTCCTGACTGCAGGCACATACGCGACTGTCCAGTCTATCATTGACGGCTACAAGGCCGATGGTTTTGGTGGACCTTTCACTTGTGCCGACAACGGCTTGTAGACGTTGAGGTCATTGGAGGTCGTTGGTCACTACGCCACCGCGTAGGATTCAGAAGGATTGTAGCTGTGATGGATAACAGCGAGTTTGCTGGGCCTGTTGAACCTGGTCGGAAATACACGGTTAATTAGGGCGTTCTTTGAATTTCTCATCATCAAGAGACATGGTATACCCCGCAGTAAAGGCTGCAGAAGCTGAACGCGTTGTGACAGAGGTCAAAACTGCGTAGTTTCATCAATAAAAACCAAAACAATACAATCGTACACGAATACGAACACATTGCCGTTAGCCGAGAATGCGTGAGGCGCTCTTTCCGCGAGTGCTGAACATGCGGATTAGCGAGACGTCATAGCTCCACATGTTCATCTGCCGGGCAAGCTGTCAACACCTAGGCATCCCCCACAGCTTTCGCATGTTGGAACTTACGCTCTTCTTACTCTGACTGCTGTCGCAATTTGATGCTTTGCAGCTTCCCGAGACTTTCTCACCACCATGACTTCGTACATTGACTTCAGCAAGCCCAGCTTGTGGGGTAAGTGCCAACATCCAGATCCCCGCAGCCGCGGATGCGACAGCTAACATGTGGCAGTGTCTGCGGCGAGCATCGTGTTCAACCCTACGTTCTGGAAGTACGTGAAATCGATCATCATCTTCCACAGACACTAACAAAGTTTCAGCATCGCCGCGCAGCAAGGTACGTAACCCCATCGTTGCTTTTTACGGCTATAGCCGAGCCTCGGGAGGCTGCTGGATGTCGCAGAGCAGAAGACGAAGACAAAGAAGGCTAACACAGTTCAGAATATCACAACAAAGTCATCACGAAGCTCTTCGGTGGTAACCCTCGCCTTGGATGCTATGCGCTCGCCGTAACCATCTTCTCCCTGGGTATCTTCCGAGACTACCTGTACGTACAAGGCTCCCACTATTATCAGACATGGGCCCTTACTCGAGCGAGTCGATATACTGACTGCTTGTTCACAGTTACAATGAAGCTCTCGCCGACCAACCCACGCACCCAACCCTCCTAGCCCCCGCCATCAAGTACTCAGCGATCCCCCTCTTCGCCATGGGAAACACCCTCGTCCTGACCTCCATGTGGGCCCTCGGTGTCACCGGAACCTACCTCGGAGACTACTTCGGCATCCTCATGGACGAGCCCGTGACAACCTTCCCCTTCAACGTCTCCAGCTCTCCCATGTACCACGGCTCGGCCATGTCCTTCTTGGCCACAGCTATCTGGTACGGAAAGCCAGCCGGTATCTTCCTTACCGCAATCGTCCACACTGCATACTCGATTGCGTGCAGGTGGGAGGACCCATTCACGGGTATGATCTACCAGAAGCGCGAGGAAGAGCGGGCCAAGGGAAAGAAGGGCTTGTAGATGATGAGGTTCTACAGTGGCCGACCCGATACAACAGGATGGGGTGCGAGGAGTGTGTTCTCAGCATGGCCTCGCCGAAGCACATGGAAGCGCATTCTGTCTCCATCCGTACACGCGTGGATAGCAGAGGAGAAGAAGGTGAGGCAGCTCGTCTTTTCAACAAGACAGTGGAGCAGAGGGTATTCAACTGCCAATGGGTGGAGAGGTATACGTAGCAGCATACAAAAGTACAGTTGATTTGACATGACATGATAGCCCAAAGCGACAAAACCCCAAGCGACCTTTACTTTCATCTCCTACTGGTAGGTACAGTATCTCGTGCAATCAGCTCGCGTCTTGATTCTTATTTCCGGTCTAATTGGTTGTCTATTCATTCGATTCCATTGCATTTGCAATTCGATCCACACAGGCTGTCGCCTCAAGCACCTGGCGGCACGGCTCTCCCTTGCAGTTCGGGTAATAAACCACATAGTCAACAGCCAGTTCATCACTAGAACAATCTCTAGAGCAATGAATTAAATTTCTCAATTCTTTGAGTGTGCACTCTAATATGTGCAAAGTAGCCAACCTGGTATACAACACCTCTGATAACCACCTCTTTCCCTGTCTGTGCAAGACACGCAATCCACCAAACGCCATGCTTCCCAATCCATTACGTGGTATTAAAAGAAAGAAATATCAAACCTCCTGCGCAGTACCAACCCTCGAGTGCATAGAACTCGGCGGGTTCCCAGCATGCGGCGCGCCATTACGATTCAGCACACCCAACTCACTTTCATCCACACTATGCCCATTCGCAGTGCCCTGGGCATCCGCGCGTCTCCTGAGCGCAGTCTCACTGCCTCCATTCCTGCTCCAGCCCTCTGTACCAACATAGCTACCCCTACCGACACCAATGCCCCATGCACGATCGTAGCTTCTAGGTCCCCAGGCCCATCCCGCACCCCGTGTAATGGGCAGATGATACCAGCGGAACGAAAACCAAGCACACGTCACACCAATCAGCGTACCAAACAACATATCGAACCCGAAATGGCGGAAATCGGTAAAGCGGGTACTTGTTATGTAGATGGCGGCGCAGATGGGGACCAAGATGAGGACGAGGGTGTAAACGGGTGGAGCGGCGTTTTGGTAGCGGATAGGGACTACGGCGTCGTCGTTGTAGGAGGTTGGGGACGAGAGCGACGAGTCCTGTTTGTGGATGGGGAGGGTGGCTTGTTTCTTGAGGTTGGAGGGGGAGATGGCGGAGGTGTGGGCGGGGTTTGTGGAGAAGGGGCGGTGGGGGAGGAAGGGGATTGCGACGGAGAATTTGGAGGCGAGGAAGAGGGTTAGGTAGAGGAGGCCGGCCCAGGAGACTAAAAGAACTGGGTTAGCGGGTTGCTTGTAGGGATTGGAGGGTGTGCCTACAGCTGGAGTGACCGCTGGGGAAGGACTTGAAGCCGTCTTTGAGAAGGTCTTTGTCGGGATTCTTGCAGATGTCTGCGCTGACGAGTACCCAGGCCGGATTGAAAATCTCTCCAACGGTGTTGACAACATAATCCTGAATGTTTTCGAGGTCTGGCTGACATCTTGACAGAAGATCAGGTCGCGGCTTTCCGAAGAGATTCTTCATGCCCTGTGTGATGAGGAATGCCGTCGCGAGCGAGAGCGCAAGACCCATCCAACCGGTATTCCACTCCCAAAGCTTCCTCCTCCAAATGAGCGACTTGGGTGTGCCGCGTTCGGCGGTTGGTCCAGGGACCCAGACGAGACACACGATCATGACGATGGCGGCGGGCGCAATGAGTGAGACTACCACGAGGAGCCATGTCGGTATCATTTCGCTGGTCTGGTACGGATACGATATCGAGAGGTCGACGGGCGAGAAGGGTCGTCGGAAGGGCTCGACATATTCCCAGCCGCCGGCGATGGCTGCAATGGCGATGATGACGATCCAGTCGAAGATGTAGGAGAGGACGAGGCGAACCGACGGCACGCCGACGCCTTTGATGGTCCTCATGTTTGCGAGAGTGGGTGTCTAATGACGACAGACGGAGAAGAGAAGAATGCAAGTCAAGTCCAGACAATAGATCAAAGGGACAAGTGCATTAAGGCGGCTAGAACAGGCCAAGACAAAGGCGAGAGTCTAGCGCTGGGTGACGCTGTGCGACAGTATTACAAAGATACGGTATACGGTATGCTGCGGTCGGTGTTGACGTGTATGGTGCCTACCAAATAGAAGAAGAAAGAACAACTAGGACGTGTAAAGATTACGAGGCAGGCACGGGAGCGGAGGGCAAAAGGGTGAAGGGGCACGCGAGCATGGCCAAGGCCCAGGCTGACGGTTTGAGGCTGTGTGTGATGGGCGCTGGGCGTTGGTCTTGATCGTCCGGATGTCTCAGCTGGCGCCCAGAGCGCCCCATACAGTGACAATTCCTTATTGCGCCGGCCTGACTTCGGTGTCCGAGGCTTGCACCAGCTGTTCATCCGCGCGGTCCCCAGACATGTTCACATAAACATTAAAGATGATAATTAGATAGAGTTTGGCATGTATTACGCAGATGCATGATGATGAAAGTCAAGATGTTAGTCGATCTGGGGGCCGGGATGGCAGCTAGCCGCGCGATGGGGAGCGCCACAGGGAAGTCTCCGCATCTCCGCCCACCACGTCATTTTTAGATTTGCAGCCAGAATTGCGCGTACTCGAATGCGCAGCCCTCGCGATCGCCCAACACGCCCAGAATACCGAGGATTCCGACACAGACGCCCGCCGCTTCCGACCAGCCTCACGCGCAGCCCACCATGGCGCTTCCAGCACCAACCATCGATCTCCTCCTCAACCTCATCGACACGCGCCCGCAGTCCATCCTCTCCTCGCTCGAGCAGCACCCACACCTGGCCTCTGCCCGCGATGCACACGGCTACTCGCTAGTCCACGCCGCAGCCTCGTACAACCAACTCGCCGTGCTGCGCGACCTGGTCCAAAAATACAATGCCGACGTCAACATCACCGACGAAGACGGCGAGACTCCCCTCTTCGCGACCGAAAAGACCGAAGTAGCGAAATGCCTTGTTGAAGAACTAGGCGCAGACACAAAGATACAAAATCAGGAGGGCCAGACAGCAGAGGACAAAATTGGCGAAGAGGAGGGCGAGACACACGAAGTGTACCAGTACCTCAGGAGTATACGCACCGGCGACGAGCCAGCTGCACCGGGCGTCATAGAGACTGAGGGTGTTCACCCGCCGCCCCCACTACCCGACGGTGTCAAGGTCAATGTAGGCACCATGGAAGAAGATGCTGTCGATGCGCCGGATCCTGAAATACGGAGGCGCATTGAGGAGCTCGCGGCGCGGGAAGATTATGATTCTGAAGAGGTGCAGGCGCAGTTGAGGGAGCTGGTCCAGGATGTTGTTGGCGGCATGGGTGCTGATGGTGACAGGAGTGTTAGGCGGAGGGTGGATTGAAGAGACAGGAGATAATGTGCAGTGGGTGCACGTGGTTGACTCGTCACCCGCGCAACACCACACAAAACATCGTCGAACACGAGAATAGGACACTCCGCGCCGGTTCTCGCCAGACTTGCCCTGGAAACAATTCAGCACCCACGTTGTGTGTACGTGCTCGCAGAACGGTATGCTTGAAGTTGCCTTGCTCTTTCAAGGCCTGGCATAACCCAACGGTGGTATATTTCCAGCATATGCAGAGGGCAATTGAATACCCAGACTGCCTCCCATAGATGATCTACGAATGTACATCTCATGGTCCCCACAATACCACCGTCCCAATCTGCATCTTCTCTTCTTTCCCTCCGTCACTTGATCACTATTCAAAATCTCGATCCTCAGATCTCGATTGCAAGAATATCCACTTACCCAATGCAGCAACTTCCATTCCACCGTTGATTGCGGCAGAATCAGGATTTTGTAAGCCTACTCGGAGTATGTCTCTTTTCATACAGCGGTTCGGTCAAATGCACCGACCTTGGTACACCCATCCGGTCCGTCTGCGTTAGGCAACCTCGCTCTTATGCGTGGATTCCAGCCGGCGACATCGGCGATCTCTGGATTAAGGACAATGGGTGCGATCTGAAGCATCTGTGAGAGATCGGAGGAAGGCACTGCTTACACATACTCGCGTAATCCGACGTGCGAGCGTGAAAGGGCCGTTCACGACGGTAATAGTCTTATCCACACGCAAAACCACACCATCGGGTACAAGCATAACCCATCCGCAACACCAAGCGCACCGAGAGCAACGTCATAACGGCCCCATCTGTTACTCCAAGAGGCAACAAGACGCAAAAACCATGGATTCCAGTCGCTCTTCTTCGGACTTATTATTCTCACCAAGACGCACTGATGCCCCTTGACCATTTGCCATTTCCGCTTTATTCCCACAAAAACCCGCGTCTGTGCCGCCTTTTGTTTGGACCGGGGAACACGGCCATGCTCGGCAAGGCATCGGCATTCCCATAATTTTTCGAAGCAAAGTGGGGCGTCTACACTTACCCGAACACCCTACCCTATCCTCCTCTCGGATCGCTCCCTTGGTTTCAACGTTGGCTTGGCGTCTTCGCCACAATCGTTCCCTTTGTTGCCACTTCACCTCCACGGTCTCCACCTGCCACCCTTTTCGGTCAAATCTGCTATAAGGCTGCCTGCATGGGGAAGGAAAGGCCAAAAAGTGTTGATTCTAGTCGGTCAATTGCGGTGCTTCTCGGGGGCATTAAGTGAATCCTTCGGTGAGTTAAGGTGATGGGTGGATGGAGAGAGGGGTTTGGGGGGCGAATGGGCGTGAGACGTGTGGGTTTGTGTGAAGAGATTTGTCGAGGATGGGAGAGGGAAAGGTAAAGTATCTGCTTTCTTTTCTTCTTTCTTTGGGTGAGATTGGGATGTTGGTTCATCGGTAATGTCTGCATATGCGTATGCGGCTTGACCCTTCTCCTCCCGTCCAGAGCTGCTCTTTCCGCCTTCCTGTACCGTGTCTCTGCACCGAAGACCTGCGACTCTCGGTTCAAACGGCTATCATAGCGGGCCCTTCTCTGATATGCACTATGCATTACCCTGTTTGGGATGTCTCGCGTACATCTCTGTGTCAGAACCCCGTTTCCTCCATGTCAAACTCGGTTCGCCATATCATCCATCATCATCAGTACCGTATTCTCAGATTCCCATCCTGAATACCCCCAAAGAGGTAACTCCTGATTACCCCACCGTAGAACACAGTCGCACTTCGCACTTTTTGTCGAAGTCCTTCGCACTTCTTCGCACTTTTTGTCGCACTCCTTCGCACTCCCTCACTCTTCTTCCGAGGCTCGCACTTTCTCCCTAATCTAGCACTACCCCTGCCTCCGCGGAAGCAAACCTCATACGATGTTTGATCGTTGTATTGGAACATCCCGCTCCTCATATGTTCTAGATCTTTTTTGCTACCGGGTTGGGAAAGAAATGAAGAGTGTTGATTGTAGCCAAGACTGCGGGCCGTGACGGGTATGCAAGGGGATGGTTCTGCATTAGGGGGGTCGTTGGCGCAAGAGGTTGGTGTGCTAAAGCACGAGAAGGTGTGTGTCATCTCAGCACGAGGGCACTTTATTCGGAGGAGAAGCGGACATTGATCTTCTAACTGAGACGTCTACATCACCTCCGTATTTTACAAACTCAGGTCCTCAGAGCAATGTAGACTTCAGAGCACCTGTTCGTTTTGTTTCCCAGTATAAGGTACAATTTCCCCCTGGTCTAATAATTCCTCACCTCCATGGAAGCGATACCTTGTCCGATATGTAATCGTCCTATCGGAACACCCTGTCATCGCCGCTGAGCTTCTCCTCCGGAACCTCGATATCCTCAGTCTCCAGCGTGAAGATGACCACTTCATACTTTGCCGGGCGTGCCTGGCTGTCCTCAGCTACCAGCGCCTTACAACGCTGTTTGCGGTTACTGAGCCCAAAACGCCGGTTGATCTCTCCCAGGAAGTCCTTCAAGCTATAGCTACGAAACGATTCGATCTCAATCGCTGTAAGCGCGCCCAAAGGTCGACCTTCAGTCCACCGCACGCACGCAAGCCCTAGTGTTGGTTCGCACTCTCCAGCATCCGAGTCGTCTGATGAAGGCGCCGGGTTACGTGCAGTAGTCGCCTTTGGATTCGCCTTTGCTGATCTCGTGGATTTCGATCTCGTGAGTGCTGTTGCGCGCTCCCATTTTGCAAACAGGATGTAGTGGTAAGCTGTTCGGAATACGGTTTCCACGTCTTCTCTTGCCCAATAGTAGAAACACCCCTCGCGGTCGCCAGTGTTCTCCACGACGAGTCTGTGTAACACCCATGAATACCGGTCCGTCTCGTTGTCGTACCTCGGAAAATGCGTCTGTCCAAGGGATCCTATGCGGCCGCGCCACTCATCGTCCCGGATGCGTGCATAGAGATCGTCGAAGGTGGGAACGCTATTACCAGGCTTGTAGAGATCTGTCTTCAGAAACTTGCTGGCGAAGACTTCCCACCACGGTTTGACGAGCGATGAGTCTCGCCACTTGTCAAAAGCGGCGTCAGTGTAGGAGTATCCGAGAGAGGCGACGATCTTGCCTCTGTCTTCATACGGCTTGCGCGTTGAGCGCTTTCGCTTTTTAGAGGAAGTGGTGAAGGAACCTCGCGCCATTGTAGCTAGTCGTAGCTACGAGTCTATCAGGAGGATAGAGTATGGCTACCTAGGTACTGTCTGAGTTGGGCGCGGCGCCTTGTAACGTGTGGGTATAAAATTGCCTGGGTCCCTGCCGAAGCGAACAAATATCCGCTCACTCACCTTCATCCATCCACGTCAACCTAGGAAAACACTGAACACCCTAGAGGCTACATTGACGCTAGCTTACCTACTTTGAAGGGTTTCATATCAATGTAGTCTGCAAACCTGTTTAGTTCTGTGCTTGTATGAGATGTGTTCAAGGGCTACAAAAGCGTCAAGTGAACTACCTGAACTAGGTGATGTTCAGCATACTAATGGACTTTGAATCCAAGGGGTTCTACATTGTACGTTCGGGGAGCGCTCGTGGTGAAATCCGATACCCACTGATATTGGTGACTTCGACGGTACTTCTACCATTCCAAACTTTAAAGACGTTTTTATTCTCAAACAGCTTACTATCAACTTATCAAATGCGAGGTATCGCGTGCGCACATGAGACGCAGTTACCTTCGTGCGCAGTGGACCCAGTTCTGTCTAGCGCTAGCGCAGCCGCGGGTGGCGATCTCTTTAGTCAGCCACTTGAGCAGCCCTACGAGTCTTGCGCATTCACGCCAATCTTCAATCACCATACGACCTTTCGCCCCGCGCATCGCGGCTACCTATACGAAACCCACACGATCACACGGGACTATCCTCGACATCCGCTGTGATTTCACACTGTATACGCGACGACCGTCCTCGTAACCGCATTACCCTCTACGCCAAATCACCGTCGACACCGCCACAACCACAACCACAACCATGGGCAAGGCTGAAGCGGGCAGTACAAAATGGGTGGCCAACAAGATGAAGTCAAAGGGCTTGCAGCGCTTGCGCTGGTGGTGTGAGCCGTGCCAGAAGCAATGTCGCGACGCCAACGGCTTCAAATGCCACGTCCAGAGCGAGGGCCACGTCCGAAACTTGCAAGTCGTTGGCGAGGACCCTAAGAAGTACATCCAAGGCTTCAGCAACGAATTCCAAAGGGATTTCGTCAATCTTCTGCGGACAGCACACAACGAGAAATGGATCGGTGTCAACAAGTTCTACAACGAGTATATCCGAGACAAGGAGCACGTCCATATGAACGCTACTAAGTGGAGTTCGCTCACCGAGTTCGCCAAACACCTGGGACGCGAGGGTATCTGCCATGTCAAGGAAGACGAAAAGGACGGATTGATGATCGCTTGGAGAGACACCTCCGTCGCGGCTTTGAACAGGCGCAACGAGATCGCGGAGATGGAGGCTGCTGAGGCACGGAGCGGTGCGGGCGAAGACAAGATGTTGAAGAAGATGGCGAAGCGTGCACAAGAAGAAGCCGAGGCTAAGAAGGCTATCGAGGCAAAACGAGCGGCGGCACAAGCAGCAGTACAACAGCAGGTCACTCCACCGGCCGAAGGAGCGTCCCCAACGGAGGAGAAGAAGGTCGAATCGCCGGCCAACGAACAAACACAAACAGAGGAGAAGACAGATGCCACGGAGGTGAAGGCGGAAGCAGCGCCTGTCAAGCTCAGTTTCGGGCTGAAGGCAAAGACTGCACCAGCGAATAAGGCCGGACTTGGTCAGATGAAGAGCCAGAGCATTTTCAAGCGGAAGAAGGACGACGCGATAGCGGAACAGAAACCTGCGAAGAAAGTCAAGTTATGAGCGAGGGTAGGACGTGATTGATTTTCATGCACAGCGCGGCGTTTGGGTCAACATATTATGGCAATGCAATAGGATTTCATGTGCCGAGAGGGCATTCACAACATATCAACTTTTGCTGCTGCTGCTGCTCCTGCCATTACCGGCACTTCGCCTATAGCCCGGGAACACTGCCGCGCCATTTCGTGTTCTTCTTTCTAGGGGGTGCACGCGCCATACCATCTCAAACTTAGCGCCATTTCGGCGCGTCTACATCATCGAGACGCGTCTCTCTCCAATATATACCCACCACCTCGCCTCTTTTTCCTCTAAACCTAATACCTCAATCTGCGAATTTGTCGCAAATAGTTCGCGACCTCGTCCCTTACCGCAAACATGTCCCTCGTTACTTTATCGTCCCTCCCCGACCCAGTACTCCATCTAATATCCGTATACCTTGCGCCCGATCGGCCCAGTGTCAATGACATTGAAGAAGGCCAACAGCCAACACTCTACCGCCATATTATCAACCTCTCATTGACGGCGCACTCACTCAATCGCATTTCCTCCGTACACATTGCGAAGAACATCAGCTTAACAATCGCCAACACGCGTTGGGATCTGTTCCTACGCACCGTCACCTCGAATCCCACCTACGCGTCGACCGTCAAATACCTGAAGATGAGCGAAGGCACGATCGACGACAACTACGGCAAACGTATGGAGGCCATGCTCACAGCGCTGAGCGGACTGGAGGCCCTATACGTGCATCACAGCAAACGAAGCCACGCCAACGCCATCCAACAGCTTATCACCTCAAAGCCACTACCACTATGGGATACATTGCTGGTACTGCGCTTCAACCACACCAACAGCTGGGGCGAACCGGCCATTGTGCAACTCGATTTCGAGCGCAAAGAGATAGACAAGAAAGGCGGATTAGGCTACACAGCTGGCACTGAGCTGCTCACTGGAGAGCTAGAGGACTTGAGCTGTCATAGGTTTCTGGATATACCAGTCATCAGTAAGGTCAAGGTTTCCACACGCGACTTTGAGAACGATGGCGATGACCAGGATGATGCGGATTGGGTGGATGAAGAGGAGGAGGAAGAAGAGGCGGATGATGATAGCGATGGCTGGAGTGAGCGCGATTATGAGGATAACAGCGAGGAGAGTGACTGGGATTCAGAGGATGAGAGCGATTATGAAGACGATTGGGAGGCGGAGTATGGGTTTGTGGTACCGAAGGCTGAGCCGGCTAAGGATTTGGCGGTGCCGAATACTGCGGTTGTTGTGCCTGGGAGGAGTCTTTTGGACTTTTGAGGGTGCATGCGATGCGGAGATGCTTAATTGTTAGATGGAAGAGGACTGGATTTCTTGTTATGTATTATACTGTGTTACTTTACCGGTCTGTTAGATCTACTCACGTATTGAGTCTACCTGTCTACCACGAATAGATCACCAAATAGTAAGACCCATATCTGAAGCATCCCACCCGAACGTGAAATCAGCTGGTGGACTTGCTTGCAGGCATATGAGCAAGCTACTAAACTCAGCTTCTGGTATAAGCCAAAAGAGAGACCCACGTTATTTGATGTGTTGCACTGTGTCGCATGTACTATCGGATACTATCGTAAGCTACATATACACATGTAACCACGAGATGATCTCCATCCTCCTCTTCTTCGTCTGAAGGCTCGTCATTCTTTCCCCAGATTTCCAAGTTTAATTGAGCTGATAAGGAAGGAAAGCTCTTCGGCATTGAGACAGCGTCTTCATGGGTGTTGAACGACTTGGTAGTGAGCAGCGATATGTGGCGTACCCATGCACTTGGCCGTCCTGTGCGCTTGAACCGAGCAAGCGCCTATTGATGGGAGCTACGTCAAACTCATTCGCACCCTTTGTAGAAACAACGGTACCGGCTTCATCTCTTCTTCGTTGATTACTTCTCTGGTGGCCAACGTGAAAATGGTTTTTTTCCCAGTTTCGTGGTACTTTTGAGCGCCGGTGTACGTCAAATTCCTCCAGGCATCCAACTCCACCACGATCTGCCGGTGGCTACGTAGATCAAAGACGTCCATGACCGCTCTTTCGAACTCAGCTTCAGTGTAGCCACAAAATCCCCGGACAGTTGCTTGAATGGATATTCCTTCATCTTCTTCCAAAACTTCCGGCCTACCTTCGACTCAGAAGATACTGGCCACACCTTCGTAGGGACGGAGGCGATGCTCATACGCATCCACAGATAAGGTAGCTTCGAGGAGGTCTAGTTGTTTGGACGAGGATGGTGCGGTTTTTGATGAACTGGCAGTGCCTTTGCCCTTGCCCCGTGCGCGCTGTCGCTTCTCGAAAGCGATGAAGTCCCACATGCTTCGGTATGTTGCCAATCTCTCAAGCCCCTTCGCATAGAAGCAACCATTTCTGTCCTTCGTGTTTTGATCGAGAAGGCAATACAAAAGCCATGCATGCTAGTCGATATCGGTAGTGTACTGTCGGTCGATGCGGGCGGAGAATGTCCTCGCGCTAGCCTTCTCGCCGTTGATTATCCAAGTGTAGACGTGAACGAACTTTAGACCCTTCTTGTCGGATTTGGAAAGAAACGAATCTAGGAAGTGTTTGCTAAATCTTTCCCAATAGGGCTTCACTAGATCACTCGCGCGCCAGTCTCTGAACGCTTGCTTCCGCCCGAAGCCCAGTTGTTCGATAACCAGTGCCTTTCTCTCGTAAGGTCGCATTTTGCGCCTCTTAGTGGTCTTGGTGGCCATATCGGCGCGGGTGTTTAGGGTGTCGCGAGTATGAGAGGTAATTGGAGCGGCAGTTGCGATGATGTCAATCGGAAGCGAGAAGGCCGTGTATGGGTGCCTATGGTAAAGGCGCAAACGGAGGGTTTGCACAGTTGAGCGTGACAAATCGGCGGTCAATGAGAAATATCGCAGAGATATCCCGTGGCTGCTATCGACATTCACGTGACGTCACGTCGAGTTTCGAGACGCAATTGTCTTCAAACGAGGCGGCTAGAAAGACATAACAGCAACGTAGGCTTCTAGGAGACTGGTTTCTATTACATTGCCATTGCTTCGTGCCGCATACAGCAGTGTATAGCACGATACCAGAAAGCTTCAAACGCGATGTAGACTTCTGGGTGATCTGTTTCTACGAAAAACTTATTGCTTCTTGCGGCCTACGACAGTACAAAGAAAGTGAACAGGCAGGAACTAACAGCAATGTAGTCTTCCGGATGGTCTGAATCCATACTATTCTTGTTGCTTCTTGCGGCCTACATTGGTACATGACACGATGTCTAGGAAAGACTAACAGCGATGTAGACCTCTGAATGATTCGCTGCAACGCAGAAAACAGGCCGTATGGGGTATGTAGCAGTCTTACACTACTGAAATAGAGTACAGGAATACGCGAGCTCCGTCGCTACATGGCGACGAACGTAAGTGCTGGCGTAGCAGGCTCATTCGAGTATGGGGAATGAAGTGTTGGGGCTGATATAGTTGCGGCCGTAGCTCTTGCCGAAGGAGCTATCCTTACTGTCCTGCAGTATCTTCCACGCCGCAATCGGCTTATCAGCTTTCTCATCTTGGCCGAAGCCCGGCTCAAGCTTGAGAATGAGCTTAGGATCATACCGAATCCACCAAACTCCGTGGTGATCATCAGCGAAGTTGGTGCTTATCCCATTGGGCGGGTACTTCAGGCATACAAGCAGATCAAACTCCAGGGTAGTAGCTTTCAGCCACGGATCCCTCTAGCATCGCAGAACCATCCATCAGCACCGACGGAAAGTAGAGTCGGCCTGATGCCGGCTTGGTTCGCAGTTTCAATGTCATTCACGATTGCTTACACCCCAATTAGAGAGAAAACTGAACACCTCGGAGCCTACATTGACGTTAGGTCAACTAAATTGCTTGCTTTTATCGTAATGTAGACTGCAGGCCTGCTCATGGCCGAGCCCGAGGTGTTTGATGATCTCGATCTTGTATTAGTATGACCGACCTTTGTGCTTTCAAGGAAGCATCTTAATACAAGCGAGGATAGTGGCGAGGTCGCCGGATTGTCCAGAGTACTAAGAACAATCAAGGCGGCAGTTACGCTGTCAGAAAGATGTCGAAGAGCATTCGCTGCTCGATGTGCGATATTTTGCTGTGGCCGAGTGGTCAAAGGCGCTGCGTTTGGGTCGTTCTGAACATCCTCCGCAGTCTTCGAGGAACAACGACCCGGTGTGCGGTAGCCCGTACCGATCAAATCCCCAAACTCATCTACAGAGACAAGACATCGATTGGCACACAGATCCTGCACCAATGCATCTGGAACCGATTCCGTGCGACAGTGACGGTGACTTGTCACCGTCAATCACACCTCTCAGGACCAGTACTTACGACCTTGCCCCTGGATGCCTCGCCTGTGTAAAGGGCCAGCGCATCACAACGCCCCGCCTCTTACATGTCGTAATCCACGTGTACCCATGCTCGCGATATCAGGAGATTAGGCGAATTCGCAGCGTAAGGGGAAAAACAACTCGAAAGTCCGTTGTCGTGAATGACGATGAGGCTTCTCTGCACGCTGCACCACAAAGCAGGTTATTGGGCAGGCGCGACCAGCGGATAGGAAGGCGCGACTCAACCCCGCTGCCGCCTTCTCGCTAACCCAACGCCCTATCGATTGCGCCAGACAGACCGTGAGAAAGCCTCCCGCAGCATGTATGCACGCCACACGGCTCGACGTTTCTAATTTAGGTATCTGGGTTCCTTACCTAGGCAGTAACGGCGTAGCGCGCGGCGATGGGTGTGTTGTTGGAAAATGGCGACAGTTGGTAACTCACTCACTCACCGGTCGAAGACTTTACGCCTTGCATACAGCATGTATGTTAAGCAAGGACAACGCGTTCTAGAATGTGGAAGCCGAGGTATTGGAAATATCTACATCGCGCTAGTCTGTAATCAATGGGAATATGTGACTTGGCTAGACATGTGAAATCGGCCGGATAGCGACCACTTTTCGAATCCATTTAGTCGCTCTATCACGATACTCGTATCCAGGTAATTACTCCCCCAAGCTGCAAGATTCCCCAATCTCCGCATCCCGCTCGACCCCCTCTCTCATTTTCCCATCTCCCCCATCAAAGAGATGAGATGAGAACCGGGCCGAAAGCGAAGAACGCACGTTCGCAAAAAAAGAAGATGGAGTAGAAAAATGGGAAATGTACCAAGACCTACTAGAGCAAAGACGCCACTCAACAAGGCAGTTACGCGAGGAAAGAAGGAAGGAGGAAAACAGGGACACGGGTCGGGGCACGGCAGACGGTAGGTAGGAGCCGATTTTGCCGGTCCAGGAACCTGGTTGCGTTCTTCTGTCGACAAATTGCGAGATCGTATCTCAATGTCCTGATTCAACATGAACAGCTGGAGAGCGAAACCTGTAAAACCCATTCTCCATATTACTCCCGAACCACGCGTCTTTCTCGTAACGTGAGACGTAACGCTCTCCTATCCCCGTTCACATCCTCCAGTCAACCCCATCAAATCACATTAAGCGAAAACAAGTAAACATGCGTTCACACAAACTGGCCTATGTTCACCGCACCGTAGAGCAGGTATTCAACAACCACCCAGGGCTAATCAGCTGCCTAAGTTCCCGCGGCTTCACAACCCACGTATCCAGTAGCTTCATGTACATGCTGCGCAAGTTGCCACTACCGAGACATCCTTCCAGCTCTATGCATACACGTACATACATACATTCATTCGTGTAAGTAAGACTTGGTTTTCTTCTTCTCTGCCTGCTGCAGAGTCTGTTTTGCCCCGTTTGATTCCGTCCAATCACCAGCATGTGACGTCGGGCGTGGCTTACTTGCCTAGTTTCTTGATGTCAGCGCACATTGTTCAGCTGAGTGGCGCTTTGCTGACGACGGACGGCAACTGAGGACTTGGCTTCTTACTGTGCCTCGCCAATTCAAGCCACGGGCGTTCAGGGGGTGAGAACTCTAATCCTTCGTCGCCTTGGGCCATTATAGCCGTAGTCTGTTGTAAGTAGAGTGGTGAAGCAAGTTACTCAGATCTGCGCAGACCGTGTCAAATTTGAGAAGGAATGGATTAGAGAAGAAGTTCGTGATTCTACTATATGCTATGCAATGAGCCCGTAATCCCTGGTACTCATGCTACGTGTCGATCGTTAGGTGTGCCCATTTTGTGTCTATAACGCCCCAATTATGATGATGGTTTACTACAACGCCGCTCGCGTTCCTGGTATGCCAAGCAACCTGTTGCGGCGGAGAGAGTGAATTAAGAAAAACAACAGTAGGTGGGCCTGTCCATGCTCCAAAACCGTACATGCAAAGTACCCAGTGCCAGAATGCTGCCCAGAAGAAGCCCCAGATGTTGCCAGATGATACAAGATTAAACGCTGTAAAAACATCAATGCAGTTGGTGCCGGCACGTTGTTGTGGAGGCGAGGTGGAAGCCGTAGCGAAATTATCATTATCGTAATGAAAAATTAGACTTGTTCGGTAAAGGCTGATTTCCGCGAATCACCGGATGTCCTCCTCTTCTTCTGGAGCTTCTTTGATGTTCTCCGCTCGGCGAGCTCAACCTCCTCAGGGGTGGGTGGCTGGAAGGTGCCCGGCTTCAGGACCTGAAAGCCAGAGTTGACGGAGCGCAGGACGTGGTCATCGCGATCCTGGTTCTGCTCGGTGTTGACTTCGTACGGCACCTGATCGTAGCTGTATTGGTGGTGAGGGCCACGGGGTTCGTAGGTGTCGGGGTAGTAGGGAGCGTTGGGCGCGTAAGACTCGGTCAGGGGAACCGCTTGCCTTGCCTGGTTCGCTGCGTTGCCATCGTGACTCGGTCCGGCAGATACGTCTTCAGCTTGGTCGGCGACAGTAGCTAGCGGAGGAGAAGGTGACTTCTGAGGCATGAAATAGTTAACACCATTGACCGAGGACACTTGGTTGTCCGCCACGCTGGCCCACTCTCCGCTATTACCTGGCTTGCGCACTCGAGGAGTGAGCTGTCCAGTCTCGGCGACGTGGGAAAGACGATGGCTGCGGAGGAGTTCGAGGTCGGTCTTGGGGTCAATGGGTTGGTTGGGCCTGAAGTATGCGGACTCGTAGGTGCGGACGTCCTGGCCAGCTGCCATGTAGTCGGACTCGTCACTGGTGCGACGGCTGGAATTGCTTGCGGACTGTCCATGTTGACCGAGGGGAGCTAAGGCTGTTAGCATAGTCCAATTTATTGCGCATGCTGATACTCACGAGAAGTAGCGCCAGAGTTGCGGGTAGCGTAGGGGTTTTCCAGGGCATTGAGGGCGCTGTTGCGGGAGACGTGGTGATTGCAGTTGCTGCAGCGGGGGCCCTCATGGTTGTGGGGACGCGCAGGAGAAGATGATCGGGAGTCCTGGGTTGAGACGGGCTCAGCGGAGACGGCGCGGTCGAAAGAACTGGGACCGCGCGAGCTGTTGCGGCTGGAACCTTGGGCGACTGGCCGGGGCAGGGAGAGTTGCGACTGCGAAGCGTACGGAGGGGCTTCGCTGATGATGGAAGCACGGCTACTGCCAACGGGGGTGTTGGTACGCGAGATCCAGACACCGTCGACCTCAATACCGCTCTGGATTGCGCGGATGCCGAATGGAATCTCATCCTTGGTCTCCTCGGTCACCTGGGTTACTGGCTGCGCTTCGAGCATTTCCGGAGTGGCTGCGCGTTTGCCTTTGTCCACTTTGCTGTACTTGCGGACCTTGTTCTTGTCGTACCATAGCTTGAGCA